GTTGCACTACTAATCGGACATGTTGCGTTGACTTGTTTATGACTGCCAGCTTAGCACGCACATAAACACATTCACACACACACACACAGAGACACACTCTCACAGACTCACACACTCGAGACGTGTTTTTTGTTATGTTTGCGGACTTGTGGGAAATCTGTAAATAGCTGCAAAACTAGAAGCCATCGACGTCGCCCAAGAGACAAAGCACTCGTCATCAAAGCTGTTGTCGTGCTTGATGCTGCTGCTTCTACTGTTGCTGCTGCTGCTGCTGCTGCCCGGCATTACCCGCGGGAATAATACCAGACAGTCAGCCAGATAGGCAACGGCAACAATCAACACATTGACTGCCATTTTCGTAGCGTTGCACGCGACGTATGCGTAATCTTTGAATGGCACAAGTCCTTCATCTCCTTCACTCTGGCTCTGGCTCCGTTTGTTGACAACTAAAATAATTTTGGTCAATGCCAACTTTGGCCATGTGGCTTGAACTTAAGCGTAGAAGATTTTTGCAGCTTGGAGCAAATTTATATATATTTTTATATGTTGAGATAAAGCTGCGAAAATTTATTTTCACAGCATTCTAGAGCTCAAAATTTCAATTTCAATTCAAGTTGTAGGGGAAATTAAAGTAACTTCTAGGCCAGACGTTAATCGAGTCCAATTTCAATTTGCCCAAAATGTCAAAAAGTTTTCAGCAATTGTTTGTTTTTGTTTTCAGCAATCTATGTTTCAGTTTCTTTGATTTACCTCTCCAGGGCAAATTTTATTTACATATTTTTATTTATTGCTATACATACAAGTGTGTAGTCTCGACTTTCAGAAATCCATAAAAAAATAAAATAATAATTATTATTAAATATATTGCCTGCCAATAGCATTTTTAGCAGAATCAAATTGTTATATTAATATATTAAAAAAAAAAATTATTAATATAATATATAAAAAAATTAATATTAATATAGTAAAAAAATATTTTTTAAATAAATTTAAATTGATATTTGTATATTTTTAATTGATACAAGCCTTTCATTCCTAGATAATAATTTCTTTAAAGTCTTATATGTATTTTGCAAATAATAAAGTGAAATCCAGGCTTAATTTTAATTTCATTTATTTATTTATTTTTTAAAATATAAAAATACTTCTTTATTAGTATTATTTTTTTTTTCATTTGACTTCAATTCTACGTTTCGTATTTTATATTTAATTTTTGTTACTTTCTAACGATACTTTATTATTATTATTTTATTATCTTTAATAAATGATAAATTTCCATTTATATTGATACCAGCTACAAACCATAATCCAGGGTATTTGTCAGCCTAGAACCTTAACTGCATCGACACTTATTTTGTTGTGCATTGGCTGTCGGTTGCTCTATGTTGTTGTTGTTGTTGTTGCTTGCAATGGCAGGCGGCAATTACGCGTCACGCAGCTGGACGTCGCGGCAAGCAACGCGATTTCCGAATAGCGCGAACTGTGAGCGAGCAGCGGGCGGAGAGAAGCGAGCAGAGAGAGAGAGAGAGAGGCGAGCTCGCACGCAGCTCGTCTCGTTCGGTTCGGTTCGAGCTGCAGAACACACACAAATTGCCAGTGTAGGACAAGGTCGCATTTATTTGGTGCAGCCGCAATTGGGCAGCGGAACCGAGGCAGGAGCCGGGTGGTGGGTGGCTGGTTAGGTGGGTCGCTTGGTATGCAGTCAGTTGATGGGGGAGGCAATGGCTGTGAGTTTGTGATTTGTATGGATAAGTAGCGGGAGCTGGGAAAACAAAGTGGGGCTAACAGCAGCACGGTGCATGCTGCGTACGAAGGTTACCTGACACACGCACACCCCGAGAGACAGAGACAGACAGAGAGAGAGAGAAAGAGAGACTCGTTGACAGAAATGTTGAAAAATTATGAAATGAATACAAATATTTGCGGATCAGAAAAAAAATAGAGTCGCCATTGAATGTCGCCTTCAATGCGACGACAAAGTGCAAATCAAATGTGATAGATGATCTCAATGCATAGAAAAATGCCGAAAGAAAAATGAACTGAAAATAAGACGCAAATAAAATGGAAAAAGCCAGCTGAATGAGAAGCTGAAGCATGTGCAGGTAAAGAGTTGTTTTTTTTTTCTCTATTTTCTAGAATATGTTTATTGAAGGGTTTTACATTTCATCTCGGTAGGCAAGGTAAACATAGCTAAAGTGTATGAACTGAGGTGGCCAAAGAGAAGTTATTGAATACTTAAGGCGTGATTCATATTGGGAAAATATCCAAATATATTTGCATAGAACGTGGGAACTTATTAATTGGCATTAGAAATGGATTAACTTCTAGTTAATAACTAGCACTGCTTTTTGTTTACCATGTAATTACAAGTTTAATGTAATTTATCCATGGTGAATCAACAACAAAAGTTTTGTTTTATAACGCTCAAACGTGTTAAAGCCACGTCAGTTCTAGTCGAATTCGATTTCTCGTAATCTCCACGTGTTGAATTTTAGTTGGCTTTAATCGCTGCATCGACTAATGCTAATGCTAAAATTTGTAGTTTATTTATTAACTTAATTATAATATATATATTAGTTGTTTATATACTAATCATCGCTTGCTAAAATAAATAATATAAAATAATACAAGTTATAAATTATAAAAAATTCTTTTAAATTAAAATCGTTTATATATAATAAAAAATTTAAACATGTTATTTTAATATTTTTTAAAATTTTTATTTATAATTCAATTTTTCAATTTTTATTTGATTTATCTGCTTTTTTAAATATTTTTAATTTAAAATATTTACTTTTATTAAAATGTAGTTGATATTACATTTTTACATGATCATACATAATTTTCGTGTCGGCTCGTTAGTAAAACTATCCAATTTTGCTATTTCACCAGCCGACATAATTGGCCTCACATTTGTAACGGCACTTGCCGCCGTTTGGTCTTTAGCGCTGGCGCTTAGTGAATTACGTGTACGTGCGTTCATCTCGACTATTGCAGTTCAACTGCTCTCGAACCGTCTTCAGACGATCTCGCCATTCTATTAGGGAGTTCTAACTATCGATATTGCCAATCGATATCTGAATTTAAATAACTCTCCTTTCTCTCCTTCATTTATCTTATTTCAGAACTAATTTATTTTGAATTAGACTATTACAAAAGTTATTAAAATCCTGAGCCTACAGTCTAGAGATTGTGCTTTCTGGCATTTACGTACATCTCTGATACTGATACAATTTCATAGCATTCACATGTCTGATGGCTCAGCAATACAATTTCATAGCACTCACATCTCAGATGCCGCAGCAATACATATAGTTGGCAACTTCCTGTCTGGTACCATGGTGCTATCTGGTACGTCAACAATCAAAAACGGGCCTTAGTAACTGGAGTCTAACTTAGCTTGCTGCCTGGACATGATCTCCTGACTTAAGCCTTACGATTTTAGCCTTTGATTTGTCGTATCTCGTCTTGTCATATAGAGCATTGCTCTAAATCTACATGATATTCCTCATCGTCAATAGGCAAGAATATTAAGACTATTTCCCTTAAGTTTCTTTGTCAATTTATTATATATACTTATTATATTCTTTGTCAATATATGTATATAATAATATTCGATATCTCCTTTAACTTTTTCAACTTCTATCAGTTACCAATGCCTGTTCTAAATACTTTATCAATCTAAACTTTGTAGTTTCTCGCTTGATTATTGTCTATTAAAACTTGTTCCTTTTAGTCGAAAAGCCGAAGCATTGCCAAATATTCAAGCAAAACTATTGCGAAACACTGATTAATGACAAATTGTGCGGCATGCAAACTGCAACAAATTTTTTTGTTCTCTGTTTGATTTTTGTTTGTTTTTGTTCTTTTAGACCCAATTCCACTGGCCATCATCCAAGTCATTTAAAGTGCTTGCAGAGCCCACAGAAAAAAAAAAAAGAAACGAAAGAAAAGGTTGTTAGTAACTCAGCTCAACCACCTTCTGTGTGGTTGTCTCTCAGTCTCCCTCTCTCTCTGTCTCTCTCTCTCTCTCTCTCTCTCTCTCTCTCTGTCTCTCTGTCTCTATCACTGCACCTCTGTCTGCTGCCTCTGTGACCCCCCTCCTGCTCTTACCCGCTCTGATTTTCCCCTCTGCCCCTCTTTACAGCCTGTCTGCCCCCCATTCCGCTTCTCCTTGTATCTCCTTTTCCCTTTCTCCTTGTCTGTTGTTGACGCTTCTTCCGTTCGCTGGTTTAGTTTTTCTTTTAGCTTACTTTGCGTTCCGCTGCTGTTGCTGTTGTTGTTGTTGTTGTTGTTGCAGCACATTTTATTAACATTTTCATTTAGTTGCATGTGCTCCTCTCTCTCTCTTTCTCTCTCTCGCTCGCTCGCTCTCTCTTGCTTTTCATTGCAATTTGTGTTTCTATGCATTTTTGTGTGTGTTTTACATTCGTTTTTCGTGTCGCACCGCCAAAGCCACCCCCACTCTGCCCGGCTGCAGCAGCAACATGCCACACCCCCGCCCACCCCAACCAGCCATGTTGCAACATTGTTGCCACTGTTGCGCTCTTTTGCAGTTTGTTGAAGTTTTCATAATCATTGTCGCAGTCGCAGCCTTTGCTTTTGTTTTTGTTTCTATCTGCGTTTTTTTTTAAGCTTTCGGCTGGGTCTGTGAGATTTTGCAGCTTGAAAACAATGCCGGGAAAGCGGCTTATTTTCTATGATTTAAATAATGACGAAGACAACAGTCAGCAGCCACCTTCATCATCATCATCATCATCATTATGATCTCTGATACAATGGCAGCGAGACATCATTGATATAAGATATAAGTCGAAATTGTTGCAGTTCTTGCTGTTGTTGCTGCTGCTCTGGTTTTTTTTTATTCATAGCATAAACATTTATCTTTTGTAGTACGTCACTTAATGCATACGCTCCATTTGTCGCCCTCTCTCTCTCTCTCTTTCTCTCTGTTTGTCTAATGTCTGTTAAATTCACTCTTTTTGTTTGTTTCTTTTTAGGAAAATGTTCATTGGCGGCCTCAGCTGGCAGACCAGTCCAGGTAAGTCTTGGCCCACATCCCAAACGAATCTCAGAAATTAGTTGCGATATGCGAAAATTTTCGCAAGCACTCAATTAGCATTATGTATATTACATTAGAGCTAACAGTTCTATGTTAACAAGCTCTCTGTAATGTACTACTTTACAGCTATATATATATAACTATATCTATCTATAACTATCTATCTATCTATAACTATATCTATTTTTTCTATGTCTATATCTATGTATATTTATATATACTTTAAAAAAGTCTGGCTCAAATTGAAAAAATTAAACAAAATTAGCTTTACATCTATAGAGTATGTATCTGTATACAATTTGCTTCAATTCAATTAGTCAATATAGATAGATACACATAAATATACATATATATGTACACACATATGCATATATATCGCATATATGCATATGCATAGATATTCATAGGGCAATTTAAATGAGGCAACGAATTGATTCATTTTTCAGTTGAGTTGTTTATTTGACGATCGAATACAATGAACGACAACGGGTTTTTGCTTAAATTGAAATTGTAATTGATGAAATGCTTGAGATTTTGCCATGCCGGCGACGTAATTTGACGTCAATTGGCGGCAGACCCAGAGAATGTGCCAGCTGCACGGGGCAAAAGGCGGGCACATGACGGCAGGAGACGGGAGAGAGGGGGTGGAGTGGACTAGTGGTATCTCCATTATATGCTGCATAGTTTTCATTAGGCTAATCAAAAGGCGGCTGCACTCTGTGCCACATATATTAACCAAATTTGATGCCCAAACTCGAAAGGCTGGCCAAAAAAAAAATGGCAAAAAGGGAGTAGGCGGGGGGAGTAGACAACTACAAGATGCCTTTTGATGGCCAACTTGGAGTGTTGCAGTCTGTGCTGCCGCCAACACATCCACCGCCGCATTGCACACACACACACACATACAAACACACTCGAGTGTAGCTGCATTGGCCTTTTTTTTTTTGTGTTGTTGTCGCCCCGTTTGTGTTTTTGTTTAGGAAAATTGTTGGCTCCGCCCATCATCAGAATGGCACTCGGCATTACGCTAACATATTATAACCTATAGTGCATATCTACACACACACACACACACACATAGATTCATGTGTGCTTGTGCCGCAATAGTTGAAGAGTCAATGCGGTCTTTGGTTTGTCTCTTTATTTTGGCCGCCAGCTGTTTTTGCTGTTGTTGCTCTCGTTTTTCTTGCTTTTATTTTTCACGTTTTTTGTACCTGTGCCAAAAAAATTTTCAAATTTTCAAATGGCTTCTTCAATAGTGGCCCCAACTTGAAATTTTTTTCTGCTACAAGTGTGTGTGTGTGTGTGCTAGAGAGTGTGTCTATGTGTGTGTGTGCTTTCCCTCTGCTGCCTTTTGTTATCTCTGCCCATTTGCTGTATATATGTATGTATATGTCTTCAATCTTTCCCTTTTATATATATATATATGTATATATAATTTTTATTGTATTTCTTGTTGTTTTTGTAGCTTTTTGCTTTTGGCATTCGCTGGTTGGCTGGCTTGTTAAATTAGCCAAAGTCTGAAAAATCTTGTGTTAAATTAAAGACTTGCCCAGCCAGAGCACAAGAAAAGTCTACATTAATCTTAAGTCTGCAGCTGCAGTTGCAGCTCTGCCGCGTAGTGTTGTAAAACGTCGTGTGACTTGCGGTTGGCTCTGAAACGGTTATCACAAGTGAGCGAACGGTTAGCAAATTTTGCAGAAAATTTTAAAGAAATTTCTATATTTGAATAAGCTGTTATAAATCGGTTATAAGTCAGTTATAAACCTGTTGTAAATCCGTTATGTTCAGCTATTAGAATATGAAGAATTCGGAGATCAGTTTGTAAAAGTCTTGAAGATCAATTGATGGCGAGATCGGGAGAATGTATAAAGGAGGATAGGAGAGAGGAAAAGAGATAGAGATGGAAAGACAGAGAGTGAAGGGGAGAGAGGGAGGAATGGAGAAATGAGAGGTTAGGGGTAGTAGAGAGGAAACGGGATTTCGGAAGATAAATAGAGAGAGTAAGAGAGAAAGAGAGAGAGAGATATAGACAGAGAACGAGAAAGATCGAGAGAGAGAGTGAGCGACAGAAAGTGTGGATAAGACAGAAACAAATTACGTTTATTAAACGTATCATATGAAATAAGGCTAGCAAAACCGATATGAGCCGGTTATGAAACGGTAATACACTTTTAATAAATGACATATATCACAAGTGTCAAGCAAAAGTCACGTAAAAATGATTTAGTAGCCAACAAGTCTATCTCTATGGCTTTTTCATTCGACAGTTGGTAACCGTTTCGCTTAAATAGGGAAGCAGGTGAACCGGTTAAGCGACGATTATGCCTTTGAGCACTTGAAGCTTCGCACTTTGCACACTGCAGCAACGGCAACTGTCGCCGACTGCGATCGCATGCCATTTGCCGCACAATACATAACTCTGGGCATGCCTGTCTTAGCCTTCGACTCGAGCCTCTTTTGGCCGGGCTGCGTCTATGGGCCAGCCGGAACAAGCAGCTGGGGGCACGCAGCTCAAGTGGGCAGCCACTCGCGTTGCAGCTTATGCTTTTGGATGCTGTTCAGCAGCTATTGCCACTCGAGCACACAGACACAGCGCAAAGAAAGAGAGTAAGGGACAGAGAGAGAGAAGGAGATAGAGAGAGAGAGACATCTCCCACACAGCAGACACTCGAGAAATGTGCTGACAAAGACCTAATCTAGGGCGTCTATAAACATGAGCGCCTGGTCCAACTGCAATAGTGTTAGACAGGTCGGCGGAACGTGTTGATAGCTAGTGATGATGTCCGCATTGCAGTCAACGCTTGGCCACTCCAAGCGTTATGCTCCCCCAGATTTTTAATGATTGGCACGATTGTCTTAGCTACTTAATGATGTGCACAAGTGGGACAGCAGCCACTGCACACACTCCCTCTCTCTCTCTCTCTCTCTCTCTTTCTCATATATGATAGCTGGTAGTAGGTGCCGTTGCTTTGTGTCATTTTTCGTGTCAACTAGCAGAGTGCAGACACACACACACACACACGCACAGTCGCATACTTATACATAACTTAATGAACTTTTACGACCTGCCCCGCCTCCGATTTGCTGCCGCCCTGAGGCGTAATTTAATTTTAATTTCGCAAGCAGTTCACTGGAAGTAATTGTATGCATTGAAAATGTATTTGCTGCTATCGCATGGAAAACACTCGACAGACTGAGTGAGAGACAAAGGAGAGAGAGAGAGAGGGAGACACTCTACTCAGTCAATTGAAACGCATAATGCGCGCATCAAGGAGACGCTTTCGATGCTCTCTATTAAGGATGATTTTGCTTTAGTTGATTTTGTATTCATACAGAAATTTGAGTATATATATATACATATATACACATATATTGCTGATAGGGCATTAAGAGATTAATGTTTTTAGTTCCGTTTACTCATTCTACGCTGTCTAGGTTTTAATCTTCTAAGACGCCAAATTTCTTGCTTCATTTGCTCCTGCCAATTGGGCAACTGCAGTAAATGGAAATCGATTCTTAGATTTAATTGGAGTTCACAATTTTTAGCTCTCACTTCTCACTTACCATCTCTATATCTTTGTCTCTCCCACTCTCTATCTCTCACCCTCTCTTCTATTTATTCCCTGTCCATCTCTGTCTATCTTTCTCATTTACCATCTTTCTCCCTCCATTTCATTTCTTTCCATCACAAACTCTATTTCTCCCACTCTCTCTATCTTTATCTCTTACTGTCGTCTAACTTTTTTCCTCTACCTTTCAAACCTATCTCTATCATTTTCATTATCTCTCTAGCTCTCTCATTATCTACACCTTTCTAACTCTATATATTCTCTATATATCACTTCTACGCTCCATGTCTCGTACTCTAGCTCTATTTCTCTCACTCTCACTCTCTGTCTCTACTCACTACCCAGTCTTGCATACATTATGGCAATTTTAATCTTAGCTTCTCTATATCATAGTCCAATATATCGTAACAACAATATTTATCACAGATTTAATCGTCAACCTTTCTCTATTGTTCTTTGAGAAAACCTTTTCGAATCGCAACAAATGCAAACTTAATGAAGTAAAAACTTTCGCAGCTGAATCAAATGTCTCGTGTGTCATGCTGACATCGCTGCAAGAGTGTATTCAAACTTTCAGCACATACTGTAGACAAATGTCGTGCTCTGATCACCTCTTGTTTCCGAGCAGTAGGCGGAGGGGGCGAGGCACGGATGAGTTTACTGTTGTGCCGCCGATTTGTGTCAAATTGAAACGAAAATTTGTGAAATACAATACGCTAAAGCGAGGCGCAAAAGGCAAATGGCAGAAGCCAGAAGGCAGAAGGCAGAAGGCAAAAGGCTTCCCGGCTTTTGCTATTTTGGCTGTGCGTTCAACTGAAATACTATTTATATATGCGTTCAGATGCTCAGATACGTTCAGATACATTTGCATCTGCAGCGTGGCAAGCAGACGCCCATTACTCATGCAACACGGGCAACAACAAAGCGACAAAGAACCACTAGCAACAGCAGCAACAGCAAATGGAAAATCTATTCACATATCGCTCACATTTCGATGCCGCTTAGCGATAAAGTCGCGCAACTAGACGCTGATACAAATACGGATACAAATACAGATACTTTAAGCAAATAAATATGCATTCTCTCGATTTACCCGAATCGCGTTGCCAGTTTTTGTTTTCTTTGTTTTGCTTTTGGGCACTTTTTTCTTGTGTTTTTTATCATGCAAATGAAAATGGAGACAGTTTGTCAAGCGGCGGCGGCGACGTCGTTTGTTTGCTCTAGGTATTTCCGATTGGGTTTCATTTTTTATTTGTTTTCTAAACGATCGAGAGTTTGAAATTGTAATTGAAAGTTGACGTTGAGATTCCTCAAACGCTGTTCGCTTTAGTATTCGAACTTTTGGATGTACTCATAGAAAGTTAATATGGAAATGTAGTACTATTCGCATTTAAGACTAGTGTGTAA